CCCCAAAACCCCAAAACCCCAAAACCCCACATTTCAAAATGAATTCAAACGTAGCTAGAGGTAATTAAAGAAATAAACTTAACTGTCACTTTAATTCATCGCTTAGTTTATTTAGGACTTCCAAAGCAAGAGATGGTTTGTCAGTCATTACTCCTTGGATACTTGATCTTTTAAAAGCATTCTTGATGTCACTCTCTTCATTTGCAACGTAGTAATTTGTGTAAATGCCTCTTTCGTTAAAGTTTACTATCATGGCGTCGCAGAGATGACTCATTATCCATGTAATAGGTATATAGAAGAAAGTCTTGACACTTTTTTCTTATCTCCATTTCGCCGAAGCATACTGTCTCGACATATATGGTAGAGATGCTACATCTTCCTCTATTTTAACATAAGCTAGGATTCCAACCAAATAGTATAGGAAATACTTTATAACTTTTAGCTCTGGCATAAAAATCGGAAGATTTTCATCTAAACCACTGAGGAGTCTATTGTAGGCACTTTAGCCAGTACCTACAATAGTTGTACTCTAACGATCATGCTTCTTTATAAGCTCAACCAATTATTTCCTGGCATTTTAATCTGCTGCGTTTTTCAATTCAAGCATTATAATTGTGGTTGCTGGTAGCGCTTCAAAAACCTCAGTGAGAGAAGGAATCTATGAATGACCTTCATCTTCAGGTTTGAAAAAGTATTAATCTCCATAAGAAAACCAAATTGGAATTGGTGATCTGAGTTAAGGTAAATCGGCATAGTCTGTTTCGCTAATTTTTTTGTCAACTCCACACGTTCTTATTAAGTCATCATCATGAAAAGCGACTAAAACTCCATCCTTAGTCATTTGGACATCAGTCTCAACCAGAGCGCCAATTTATGCCTATAAAGAAAATTTTTAGAATAAATGAGATTTAATCAATCGAGAGTTTTACTTACAGAATGCTTGAATGCATTAAGAGTACTTTCCGGTTTTTCATATGATCCTCCTGCTCTGTGAGAATGGACGTATTTCTTAAGCTTGGTTGGAGGTGCTGGAAGTTATAACTTGGTCTTTTTCTTATGTCTAAGCCATGAAGGGTGCAGGAGGAATATGTATTGTATTCCATAGTACAGTCCTAAGACAGGTACAATGAATGCTAGCATCTTTAATAATCTAAAGATATAAAAATTTAAAATATTAAATTATTTTCGGATTCAGGAGAGAAGTTTATTAGATTTAAGTTTACTGGGGAAATTAGAACAATCTTATTTTTTATTTATTACTACAAATCCTATTCAAAATCTATCCTAAACTATTTGGGTTTTGGGGTTT